ACGGGTTGCATCGAAAGGGTTCGGAAATGTCGGAAATCACATGATCGCGAATTTTTTCTGCCATCACTTTGCTACCTGCCAAAGTTCTGATCAATTTTTTTTAACGATGCAATCTAATTATCCACTATGTTGTAAGGCGAAGTTGTAATAAGAATTGTGTGAATCATAAATAACTAATTTTAACAGATGTGAGATCCATATAAGCCGATCCAAACTGATATGCATGGGTAGACAGATTTTGTATCAGTTTTATAAGGTTATCATTTTTAAGAGGCCTGATTACTATATCACAAACAGACATTATAGATTGATCTTTTATCTGTTTTGACAGGATCGGTTTGGAGAGGGTGAACTGTATATAGAAACATAGAGAACATGCCTTCTATAAATGCACACTCTCTCTAAACGGACATTTTTAAAATTTGTCTTATGGTTCCGAGGGAGGGTGCAATTATGAAGGGTTGACTGTATAATGATATAAAAAATTATTAAATACCAGATATTTGGTATGTAACAAAATTCTGTTTAGAATAGAATAATCTTTTAAAAATCACATCTTGTATACGGTGAAATCTTCATAAGTGCACCCTCTATAAGTGCACATTCAAATTTCAACCAAAATGCATACACGATCTTTATAAATGCATTTTTTCTTATTGGTCGTTTGATCCCAAGAGCGTGCACTTACGGAGGTTTTACTGTATTATGATATTATGTTAATACACCTATTCCATGAAATCAATCAAAAGATGACTGTCAAAAAGAAATCGCATATCTAGAATATACAGTATGACACAGCTATTTAGTTAGATGGTGCGAGGGTCATAATTAGTTTACGGCAGATATTTTAGTGGGGTTTGATAGAATCCACCAACCCACTTCGCCAACAATCTACCTCTCCAACACAAACTATAAAACAGGCCACCCTAGCCTAAATCAGGCCAAATTTGTTGACGAAATAGTTGCGAAATTGGTTTATACCATTTTTAGTGAACTAATAGACCTAACACTGAGTAAATTAGAATTTTAAACATTTTGGAATGGATTTTAAAATTGTCAATATACTATCTTGTCAGGATTTGGTAATGTAAAAGACAAATCATCATATATCTAACACTGCTACATAATGTAATTAGGAATTTATGTTATTACTATAAAGATTAACCAAAAATTCACGAAAATTACATCTCTATCATATATTTTTTGCATTACGAATAAATTTTATTTGAGGGCAAAAATAATCAATGGATAGAAGCAAGATTGGCCAGTGGACCAAAAATGCGGCTTAGTAACTACCAATGGACTTGTTCATTGATCCAATAGACAATTCCTATTGACATTTTTTTTTTCAAAGCATATTATAGTCCATTGCCAACCCTGGATAGAAGTATAGAGGCTGTACTCTCCGGCAAAACTTGGACAAATCCCAAATAAAAAAAACTGCTTGTTATAAAAAATAAAAATTACCTTGACATGTATTTTGCAAATACAGTATAGTTTATATGATTGTAAGAATATATAGTAATTTGGAAAGCACGATAATTTTGATATCAACCATACGGTCACCATTTTATTGCCTTTTACTTGTTTAGAAAATTGAAACTATTTGAATTTTTCATATATAGTTTTTGTTCCTATTACTTAAGGCCCAAATCACAAACTATTATAGCTTGAATTAATCCACACTCAAATCTCATATTCCAAAGACTTTATTGATAGTCTTTTTAAACAAATAATATACTGCGATCATCAAATTTCATGTGTCTCAAGTCACTCTTGCTGTAATCGTGTTAACTTTTCTTGACGCTCTCGTTCTTTTGCCTGTTCTTCTAATACGCGCTGTATTTCCTTTTTGTCCGAAGAACATCAATCATTAAAGGATAGAGTTTGTTTTTGCTATGCTATGAATTATTTAAAATCAAATATCAAAAATAATAACCAACCGCCGAAGAACCTTGCCATGATGGATCTGAAAGCAATTGTTGTGTATGTATATTTTGCGACAATATATTTATCCATATATCTAATAATTGGTCTGTTTGTTCAACTGTGTTGGAAAATTGCTTAGATACGAATTAAATTTATGCAACGTGCAAAATCAATAAATAAAAAGTTCAAAAAAAAAAACAATATTTTTTATGGATTCTTTACCTAACACGTAATATATATCTTTACCTGCAAATTTAGATTCGCTTGATCCATATTATTGTTCACTTTTTCAAACATTTCATTCAACTTTAGCAGTGTTCTGTATTCTTTTCTAAGTGAATTGTCATTGTCATAATTGCTATTGTCAAGTATGGAATCTCGTATGGAATCTCGTTTTGTAAACCAAAGGGAGGAATCGTTATCATTCAAAAGCGAATTTGGAAACCAAGAAGTATCGTTATCACTCAAAAGCGAGTTTTCAGGAAATTCTTGATCTTGAAGGGTCGGTAATTCTAGAGATAATGGAGAATCTGCCATTTTGCTCGGACAATTTTAGGATTCTAAGCATGAGGGCCACGCGACTGAAAAATAAACGCGGGTCGTGACTAGGTCGTGACTGATCATCCAATGATCGATCAGGTTGTACAAACTAGATCGATATAATTTTGTTTTTTTTTAATCTATCTTTTCTCTTTGAACATAGAAAAAAGAACGAGAGCAATGAACAGCGAATCACTTCTCAAGCCATCCCCTCTTATACCTGCATCTCGACCAGAGATCATACAATCTCTTATCGATGGTGTTGATCGCTATAATCCTGATAATGTGTCAATACTGGAGGAGTATCTTGGTACGCAGCTTCAGACTGAAGATTATGATCTGATGGCTAATTTGGCGATATTAAAGTTGTTAGTATTTGTGTTAAATTTTAAAAGATCTATTTTGGAATCTACTAAACAGTATGATACACATTCAAGAGATGATTGAATCAAGTACATTCTGAACTCAGCTATAAAAAATACGCTAAACATAATAGCCGAGTGCCGATGTTATATTACTTGCCCTCACTGATTTATAAATGTGTTATCATTTATTATCAATGGCCTTTATGTAATTATCAACGGGTGTAGGAAAAAGATTATTTATTAATTGTGCTTTC